GGGGGCGGGTACAGCTGGCTCTGCCTCTAGATAGGCAGAGCCAGCTGTCACTCACGCAGCTGGCCGGATCCAGGCATAATTGTCGGGATCCGCTTCAGCTGCGGCGTCTCAGTATATAGGGAGCTGTAGCTCGTGGTATACTGAGCTTAGGGTGACGGGAGGACGCTAGTTTGTGTCCTCCCGTTACCCTTAGGAGAACTATGGGGGAAAGCCTTGACCCCCCCATAGTTCTCCTTTAAGGTCTGTACGCTGTATGGAGTGCAAGCGATTTCGTGTTATTGATAACAATGCATGCAGTAACGCGCCGCAACGGTGTGAACCCAACATGGCTGCCGCCTCCATGACAGGCTCACTTTAAAGCGTCTGCAGAGCAGCAGCCGGAGAGCTCAGGAGGTCCGGAGAATCAGGCATGGCGGACTGCGAGAATCAGGGGAAGCAGCCAACGCAACAGTCGCTTCCGCAGCAGATTGTGTCTATTAATACCTCCCGCGTCTCTATGACGATTGTCATTGTCTGAGCTGCTGGGATTAGGGCTCAGCTTCCCAAATCTCAGGGGGAGTAACTAAAAGACGCAACAAGGTCAGCTGACTCTCAGCCGCGGCGGCAAAATCCTCCGCCGGGCAAATGTTAAATAATCAGAATACAAAGTTGTGTTTAGTAAACGAGTCACAATGCTGCGAATGGAAATGTCCTTCTATTAGCTCCCCTGTAATCATCTACGCAGCAGGCTAGGAAGGGGAGGGGCCAGCAGTGAGCCAATCAGGGCTCTAGTGCTGCTATGAGCCAATCAGGGCTCTAGTGCTGTTAGGGTGGCCATATACGTATGGATTTGTCATCTAGGTACAAGAGGTTGATAGGACGATGGAACACATAACGGGGACTATACAAAGTTACCAGACACGATTATCATTTCATCGATCTGTATTACAGTCGGTGGTCTGACGCACACTCGGATATTCTTCGATCGATCGGAATCAATCAATAAGATTCCGCCGAGGCCGATCGACTGGCCACCATCGAAGTCAATGTCATTTGAAAAAAGGTGAACTGGCCCTTTAAGACAGCCCATTGAAATGAATGGCCAGTGCAGCCCGAGGTTCCAAAATCGCATTGGGGTGCCATCACCCCGCATCGCGTTAGATTTGGAGAAGGACCGACATTCCCTGGGGAGAGCGCTGCTCCTGGTTCCCTTCAGTGCTGCTCACATGAGTAAACGACTAGGCGTTTGGTCATGTGATATCTGTTGAAGGCAAGGATCGGAGTTCAGGAAGATGTCAGCCCGAAGTGGGTGACATTCAGTTTGGTGAAGCGCTGTGCCGGATAAACAATTGTCGTGTGTTTGAAAATATTCTTTTCACCCCGTTTTTTGTTGTTGTTTCCTACGTCTCAGTGCTGCTGGTCTCCTGCAGCCTCTTCATGTCTACATGCATTAGTCCGGCATCACTGGTCTGGACTGATGGCGACAACAGTAGACCAGGCCTGAGCTATGTGTGCCGGGCGCTTGTAGTCTTCACCGGGGGAAGCATGTGACAAGGTGACAACACAGGAGCACACATGGGAGACAGGGATAGAGCATTGTCACCCTGTGACAGGAAGTGCCTGAACATAGACCATCATGGCAGGATCACCAGGTGTTATATGACATTAACATGTTAATGATTGTACACATAGCTGTATTCATTGGTGTGTGTGTGTGGGGAGGGGGGGTTATATAAGCATTCTTACCTTGGGCAGCCAGTTCCTGCAGTTCCTTCAGGAGATTCTGATGCCTGAGGATGGAGATGATCCTTTCATCTGCAATAAATACATCAGAATAAGTTCCCACTAATATTACAGGGTCAGCTGACGTAATATGATATCAGGTATAGGATGGGGGTCTGGGAGTCGCTGTCCTCCAGTGGTGAGATCTCCCCAAATTCTGTTCCGGACTTCTGCTTCACGAGGCCTGTTCCTCAAATTGTCTCCATGTTGCCCTCATAGCAAATCCATTAAAGGAGAACTATGGGGTCAGGGCTTTTCCCCATAGTTCTCCTTAGGGTAGCGGGAGGACACAAACTAGCTTCCTCCCGTTACCCCAAGCTCAGTATATAGGGAGCTACAGCTCGCGGTATACTGAGACGCCGGAGCTGAAGCGGATCCTGACAATTATGGTCTGGATCCGTCCAGCTGAGTGAGTGACAGCTGGCTCTGCCTATCTAAAGGGAGAGCTAGCTGTACCCGCCCCCTCCCCCGTCCGTTCTGCCAGTCAGCGCTGGCGGATCGGAGCGGGGAATCCAGCCCCTCCCCTGTCACGGCAGAGAGCCGTGACAGGATCGAGAGGTGAGCGAACGCCGGTATGTGTTCGCTCACCTCCCGATCTACTGAGCCGACCTGTGACAGTCTCATTGTCACAGGTCAGCTAGAACTTTGAGGTGAGTGAAAAGCACAT